AACTGTCTGGATTGTCAATTTGCCTTGCAATGTGGATCAAAGCATTTTTATTAAGAGTTATTAAAGTATTTTATAAGTCACGTGACCTGTTTTTCCTTATTTCGTAATCCTTGCTCCACTTAGGCATACATGCAGGGCTATTTCATAACATCCAGGCCATGGGAAAAACACTGCGCTGCTCTTTCATTTCCTTTCCCCCGTTTCAATTTGAAAACTTTGAACGTTAACGATCATTTGCAGGTCACGTGACTAATATTTCAACAATGAATATGTCACATATTGTTAAGGCCACCGAGCTAAAACTGTTTGCCAAGTTTCATGACGACTGATCAAAACAATCCGTTTCAAATACCACTTTGCCAAATTATGCAAATTAAGAGGTGACCCATGCCTTATAAACATGCCTGAGCCAGACAACTGGGCAGCACTAATTTGCTCCTACTTGAGGTCCTAACAACTTTTAACTTAGAATATTCCCATGCAGCCCTTGTAGAGATTGAAATTAATAATAATAATAATGATAATGATAATAACGGTTTAATATCAGTACATCCATGGTATGGCTCTTCGCCTGATATAAAAGTAAAATGAGGAAATTAACATAAATCTGAATTATGAATTTGTAAAAAGCTAGGTAATAAACAATAAAATATAATTATACAATATATACACACATTATTTAAAACTAGGCAAAAAATTATTCTGCCCTGTTCCGACAGCGCTCCCTTAAATAGTTTGCTTACTGAAGGATTTAAAATTATCACAACATTTAACATTGGATGCCAGAGAATTGAAGAGGGCTGCCGCGCTATACTGAAAAGTGTCCGAGGCGTGGGGAATAACCAGATTTATGGTACTTGATGACCGAAAATTTCTAGCACGCCTTACTTGCTCAAGCTGAAGGTTTCTGGGCCAAACATGAGAATATATAGCTTTGTGCGCGGCCTTTAAAACGTGCCATTCTCTACGTTCTTTCATAGGCAACCAGCCTAACTTAAGAGTTCACATAGCGTCCAAAAACAAAACTGGCTGCCGCAAAAAAAAACAACAGATAACAAAACTATAGAAAAATTCAAAAATGCATAAAATATGAAATACACCTGATTGAAAAAACGTTGTCGCTTGAAAAGTATAAACCATGAACGATGGGACCTAATGGATTTATGGGTACAACTTTATTAGCATTGCAAATTTAAAGTTCTTCTCAAAAATGTTTACATTTACGAAGCTTTTCGCGACCATGCATTCCAAAAAACGTTAAACGGTTTCCAGTATTTACGGCTCACAACTTCACCAGTGCTGGACACATAAGAGATTTCTACAGTTAAAGAGCGTAGCCGTATCGCTAACGCACACTTGACATAAGATAGGACCTAAAAGCGTTCTTGGAAGACAAACAAAGACATCAGCATGCCTTAAACAAAGCACTCTAGGGATTTGCATCCGCACGAGCATCTCGTGACAATGTAAACTTCTGTCGAAAGAACTTTGAATCTCCTTTGCTAATGAACGTTACCCATAAATCCTCATCGTTCATGGTTTATACTTTTTAGCGACAACGTTTTTTCAATCAGGTATATATAAAAGAGCTAGAGCGAGAAATAAATAACGATGGAGACCAATTCCCTTGGAAGAAAAAGGTCAAAAATTATACTTTCGGTGAGAAAATGAGAAATGCTAGCGGCTAACAAGGTGAAAATGAGCGGCAGTGAAAAAAACAGAGTGAACAAAAACACAAACACAATTTCCTCCATAAACGTGTAAATAGGAAGTTAAAAGAAGTTTCACGTTTTAGTCGTGCAAAACAACGGCAAGGAAATTTACAAAAAAGTGTGCTACAGGTGCAAAGTTGTTTTTTTGCTAATTAGTTGAAAAAAAAAGGCTCCTGCACGTGCGAAGTTGTTTTTTGCCAATTAGTTCTATTGTTGTTGTTTTTTACCGTTCTCGTTATTTTCACCTTTACCTTGTCTTTATTACTACTCGATTTTATATTTTCTTTGAGGAAACTATTTTATCAAAGAGAGCTTCGCTTTAAACCTTTGCTAAATCTAAATATTATCTTTATTTTCATATAATGCTTCATCCAATCAAATGCAGTATGAGACTCCCCCGTGAACATTATGAATGAATTACTTAAGACGTGTCTTCAAGTGCATGCTGNAATCTAAATATTATCTTTATTTTCATATAATGCTTCATCCAATCAAATGCAGTATGAGACTCCCCCGTGAACATTATGAATGAATTACTTAAGACGTGTCTTCAAGTGCATGCTGGGAGAATTGTATGAACATATCTTTAGTGCGAATAAAGGATTAATAAGTTTGAATTACAACTATTTACTTAGATATTACATATACATAACTAACTACAGACAGTACTATATATATTTTACATATTCGTTCTCAAACAGGCAAACTTCCAACTTTAGGCAGACTAGTATCATTAGCATCGTAGTAAGTGTCGGAGGTAGAGGTCATTGAGACAGGCTGAGATTGTAAATTATTTCCGTCGGCTTGCGGACCGTTCAAGTTACCATTTCGCCCAGCCATTCCATCTCCATTTAGTAGACCTTCTCTTTCCCCTTCCCTCTCTCTTCTATTGACGTCTCCTCCACTGATTAATCGGAACACAATAAACATTCCCCAAAGCACAAATAATACGGATCCAGCAGCGATGCACACTGGTACTCCGATCTCCTCCCAGTCATTAGGGGCGCTCGCTGGAAATTTCAATAAAGGAGATATTCTGATTAGAGAGGGCAATGCAAAAGATTAGGACAGGGACATTCTTACTTAGTTATTGCATGCTTTTTATGATTCTATCTTTGCAATACTCTCAGTTCAAAGTTGAAAAATCGAAGAACTAGTTGAAAGAAAGAAAAATAGTAGCGAGGAGAATATCATATCTTTCGAGTGCCGCTTTTCACACAGTCTAGCATCTGGCGCGGTTACATTCATTGAGCCTCTAGTTTAACCTCCCTTCAACGGCCACTTTCCGACCCTGAGGAGAGGTCCACCTTCATTCAGACTACCCCGGTGATGTATCAAGAACATAACATCACTAAAATAACGACCTGACCAGAGGCACTGGTCCCTAAGATTGAAACCACACTGCCAGCCTTTTTGCTAAATCGATTCTGGCGTACTTTAGAAATACTCTGCATGAATGAAATAAGAACTTTGTTGAGCATACGCTGCATGTTGCCAAGATATGGTGAGATACAGCTTCATGTAAACGTGACGCGCCTCAAACTTACTTGTGGAACTACTAGTACTACTCGTACTCGTACTACTGAATGTATTTTCACAACCATTTGCGCAGGCACACTTGTGCTCCAAAAGAAATATCTGAAAAAGAAAGGTATGAAATGTTACTTTGACACGATTTTTGCCGACAGAAAATTCACTGTTCCCGGTTTTTCACTATACTAAGGACTTTACTAACGACGACACGCAAGAAAACTTACCCAGGGGCTCTCAGTATCTCGAGTAATGCTGAATTTTGCTTCGTCGACTCGTACCAATTTGGGATTACATTGAAGCTTGATTATCACTTTCCACCCTGGCCTGAAGATTAAAATTGACTCATGTTTACTGGGCTTTATTTCTAGGTTTCATAATTATTATCACAGTTAAACCATTATTAGTTGGTTACTTCGGGGTCACATGACATCTCACAAAAAATTTATGACGTCAGAGGGTAACAATGCAATGCTACTCGCGAATATTGACCGACGATCGCCGTTATAGCGAGGTTTAATGAATTTCCAGAAATTAACAAAATTAACTGTTTCGCGAGAAACCAGTCATCAAGTGTTCATTATGGTTAGACGGCCGATATACAGTTTGTACTAGCTTGCAAGCAAGCTCTCCGGGCGGCTCTAAGGGGTGAGGGAGAAAAATTGAGCCTCCAATGGAGCTTGCTCAGAGGCAGGCTAACTTTGACTAAGAGAATCAAGTTATCTTGCTTCCAGTTGTGATTCGTAGAGTTCAAAACGACTAAGTAACATCGAAATAAAATAACGTTAATTGTTTTGAGCCATTTCTGAAATACAACCGTCGAAAAATCATGTACCTTAATTGAGAAACAAGCTAGAAAATCTATAGTCTTAAAAACCATATTATTCTCATAACGGATTGTTTCTCACCAGTTACCGGTAATGAAAAAAACAACTGTTTTTATTTTTTATTTGATACATTTAGGTCATGTCCACACGAATTCGGATACTTTTGAAACCGCATATGTTTAGTTTTACACGAATCGGCCATCCGTCCACACTAAACTAGTGAATCCGCTCAAAAAAACCGCAACTGTTTGAAAGCGGTCTCTCACTCCCCCGCAGAGGCTCTTGCTGGATGTCCCAATAAAAATAGGAATAATAAAAAAATAGAAAGGGCGCGGGGACGATGGGATCTTCCTCCTTCCCATCGTGTCCCGCGCACTTTCTTTTATTTTCTCCACAGCCTCCTTACGACAATGAGAGAGTCGCCTGGGATGGGAATATATATTCGCCCGGATGAAAAAACATCACCAAACAAACAAGCAAACAACAACAGCAACAAAGAAAACAACAACAAACTAGAGATATAGAAAATAAAAAAAACTTTTGAAAACATCTCTTCAAATTCTCAAACTGCCGAGGAAAAGGCAAATGTACTAAAAGGAGTAAATGCTGAGAACTTAGATATTTAACAATTAATGAATGAGGCTGAGTATCTTATGAAGAATTATGAAGATCGAGGAGAGTGTTATCCGTTGTGGCCGTAGGCCGAGGCGGATAACACCCTCCGAGATATCCATAATTCTTCATATGATACGAAAGCCGAATTCAATAATTGTTTTATTATTCATTCAAAATAATTCCTAGTGTAAAAACAAAGCTAAAACATGCTTACCTCCATCGATGTTAAGTTCACCTTCGATAGTGCTCGTTTAGGAATGTTCAGCTCCGCAAATATTCTCCAAATAGCAGATGTCGCCCCTCGAGTTGTGTTATTGGTGTTCTTGCTATGTTTTTAGCTATAATTTGGCCTAGTCCTTACTCTTGAAACGAGTGGAATGTCCGCCATTTTTTGTTTCACAACCAAAACAACTCAACCTCGTCCCCAACTTTTCTCGGTGAACGGTGCATTTACCTGCAAGAACGCTGCATTTTTGCGTCATTTCCTCGTTAAACACAAATTCTTCCAAATTTGGTCATCAGTAACTGGTTATGGTGAATTATACGTGTGCTTTTAGCCAATCAGAATCGGGGAAATATTTTGAATGAATAATAATAATAATAATAATAAATAACTGAATTCTGTTTTCGTATGATCGTATGATGATTTTCGTAGGATGTTATCCACCTCGGTCGGTAATATCCCTTCAATCTCCCCCTCATTCTTCAAATCTTATAAAAGCCGAATTTTTAAATTGTTAATGAATCCGACACATACTGGTTAAAGCTGTATTCAAATTGAGGCTTGTTGTGGCGTTGACTGTCATTACCGCATGAAAATGTGCTCTGTTTTCCTATCACCTCGTAGCTTGCATTGTTCATAGGCCACCTACAAACCTGAAATGAGTTGAAAGCATTGGGTTGTAAACTGAGAAAATCATAAAACTAGCAGTTATCGTAGATTATACGGTGCGTCGCCTTAGGGTCTTAGACACCTGTATCGGTTCCAACGAAGCATCTTAATCCTTTTTTTCCTACACTGAGTTATGAGGAGTTCATTTCTCACACCGCAGGAATTTCGTAGGAAAAAGAAGCAAGAAAGATCCCTAATTAAACCACAAAACCACGAAGAAGCAGAGATCCAAAGGTTGCGAAACGCATTGGGAACTACTTTTGTGACGTTTCAAGATGGCGCAGATTTGGAACCGGCACACCGGCAACCTCTTTTCTCGATTTCTCGCGCTTGGAACATGCACAGGCTGCCGACGAACACACAGAACAGCCAACGATTCAATTAGAAAGCGTCTCCTTCGTCGACACAATTATTAGACCATTAATCGAGCAACCCTAGTTATTGAAAGTCACATAAAGTACATTTTAAAGGTTTTCTATTACCTGTACACAATTTTTTATTTCTTTGTTTAGTTTTCAATAAAGTAAATAATACTGTTTACAAATGGAACATCCTTTAGTAAGTTATCTACATTTGATGGCTAGGCAATGTACACAATTCAAACGAAAGGGACAATGGATGAAATATTGAAAGATTTTTTGAGACATGTAGAGCAATTTCACAAGACGTTAAGGCCGCCGTATTGGTTTTCCAAAACAAAAAGGGGGGGTGTTTGTGTCTCAAACCAGGAGCCCATAACCAAACCAGTGTTGTGAGAATTAAAATTTTTCTTATGAAAACACTTTCTTTTTTTTTCCATGAATACTAAATTTGTATCAGGCTTTTAGCCAGATGAGTAACAAGGCCCGAAATTGATACTTTCTAGATATACTGCTTATTTCCTTTCCTACTTCATCTCTTTTGAGTAATGCCCACGCGAGGCCAACAGTAAGGTAAAATTGCAGGTCTCGGATTTTAAGCACTTACAGCCACATCATGACCTTGAGAGTTTCCACACCAGAATGAGCTGCAAGGATTATAAGAATAATCCCAGCTTTCTCCACCTGCTACGGTAAATCTGTTGAAAAAATAAAATAAGAGATTTAATTAGTAAAGTAAATCAATAGTTTGAAGATCACTTTGGTCAGGAATAGCATAGTCAGTAAAAATCGCAGCGCTTTTGTTCTTCGCGAACGCGCATAAGCCAAAATTTGGAGTAAAATTTTTGGCAAATATTTATTTTAGGAGAGGGAGAAATTTAGTCTACAAAGAGTAGCATGTAAATGGCATAATCGGCAGTGGAATTTTGTCTAAAATGTTACTTGGTTTTTTCTTGTTTGAAACTCTGTCAGGATTGNAAATTTTTGGCAAATATTTATTTTAGGAGAGGGAGAAATTTAGTCTACAAAGAGTAGCATGTAAATGGCATAATCGGCAGTGGAATTTTGTCTAAAATGTTACTTGGTTTTTTCTTGTTTGAAACTCTGTCAGGATTGCTCAGAATTTCCAAAGCAGGGTATCGCTAGACGTTCCTGGTGACTAACGCAATAGCATAAACCGAAAACTAAATTGGTCTAGAGAGGAAAATATGCATCGTTCTATATGGAGACAAAAACGACCCTCGCCGTCCGAAAAGGGTTAAATTTAGTTCAGCTTGGTTTAATGATATTGTAAATCATTACTTACATAGCGCTATCGTAGATCTAATGCGCTTAATTTACAATATGAACTAAATTAAACGAGCTATGAATTATAAATGAATTACAACCTCGTCCGCAGGGTTTGCCCTTTTTTAAGGGAAAAGCCCTGGGGATGAAGAAGAAAAAAAAAGGCTAATTTAAAGTATTTGCAAAATGACAGCCACCTTATGCATCTATTTCTTGCATTACAAACCTGGGTGTTCCATCTTTACTTTGCAAAGGAGCGAGGTTGAACAATCCGTATTTATCGTTACAGGCGCAGTTGTAATGAGACGCTGGTATTGTTCTGTTGCTACTTGTTCTTTGATATTGAAGTGAAGAGTACAGTAAGACTGACCACATAACACGACTGATCCACATACTTGATGGCATGGTACTAAAATCATTGAAAATTCTTCATCAGAACTATATTTAACTCTTTTGCGCTGGCTATTCTTGTTAATAGCGTTTCAGTTGACGAGGAAATAGTTTATTACTGGTAAACATACTATAAAAATGATACTTTTTTCTCTCACATCTCCTAAAAACGAACTTATTTTCATTAAAAGAAAGTGGGTAACTCGAAAGCAGATGCTGCCTTGGCCACCAAACACATCCTAGAAGTAGTACGTAGCATCTATTTTAGTATAGTGACGCATATAATAGGTAGAATTAGTTTCCGGGAGATTCCCTTTCTTCTCAGCAATACGTAGCAGTTACGGTCGATCGACAGAAACCAGGGTATCCATGTGGCTTCACTTAAATTAAATGAAGATGGTTACGATCAAGACCTAGATAGTCAGCAGAACTTCTTTTCTCTTCTTAACCTTTGTTTTCATCATGAAGATATCATGTTTGATAAGACTCCCATTTGTAAAATTAGCAAAGAAGTTAGGACCGTTTCAAACGTCGTGCTATTGCCTTGCTAAGCTGGCTCGACTGTAGGTCCTGTAGCTCGACTGTAGCACGACACTGGCCCGACTTGGTTTCAGACGTCGAATTTAATATTAAGTCAGTCGAATAGAACGGCTGTTGCCTAAAACAAAGCGCAAAAAGAAAGAAACAGTGTAGCAAACTTCTAAATGTATTCTAATGTAATTATAATTTATGAATTGAGTTCGGCACGGCGGTAGCACGACGTTTGAAACCAAGTCGAGCTACTGCCGTGTTGCACGTTAAGGCTTGCCGTGCTACACGACAGTAGCACAACTTGGTTTCAATCGTCGCGCTATTGCCGTGCTAAAGTAGACTTTAATTCGATCAACTGAGTTCGGGAGGGCAGTAACACGATCGACGTTTGAAACGGGCCTTAGATTGCACTTCCGGTTTCATTTTGATGTAACAGCAAAGTAGATGCAAAATGCATGACTTCGCCGATTTCTGTTATCCATTTTCTTTCCATTTGTATCTAACTCGCTTTGCCTATAAGAAAGCTTAACAAAATTTCTACATGCATTGCAATTTTTATCAAAATTATTTATGAGCATTGACTTCCGCCCTGTTGCCCAAAGGTAATACAAAGAACTTAAATACAGACCTCGCTTACCTTCAGGCACTAACAAAAGTGAGCACCCAAACCTCGGTAATCATTGCTCGGGTTTTCCTTCAATGCTTGTCAAATTTGTTAATTCTTGTTTTTATATCATAACCAAAGAGTTACAAAACGGCGCTAAAAGAAGGGACAGAGACCGGTCGTGTTGTCAGCGGATGTCTCCCTGGGCTGCATTACAGTATAAAGGTCTTTACAGGTTTTACGTAACGCAATCTTCTAACTTTTGGATATGTGTCTCTACTACTGTGTATTCACTTATTAAGCCATATATAGAGGATATTACATGGCCGCTTGGAGATACGAAATTTCTCTTCGCGTGTTTCGTAATGTTCTATTTATTATGTAAACACCAATGAAAAACCAAACCATTTCACTTACGGTGTCTGAACATAGTTTTGACAGTTTGTAGGTATATGTCATTTGCCAAATCATGGCAAAAGAAAGGTTGCAGCTCACAAGCTAAAACATGGCAATTGAATAATATACTGATAAAAGATTTTGATTGACATGTAAAATGTAACGTTTTCGTAGTTTCCATGGCAACATTCGCGATTGAATACAACCTTAAAATTTGACTTCTGCTTAGTTTACTTAAAATTCGCTCATTAGATTTTCCTATAAAGTTGCACACGGCTTATTATAGTTAATCATTACCATTTGAAACTTATATGACCAAATTTAAAGCCACGCGTTTTTAGATAATCAATAATATAACTGTTCTGTAATTATTAAATGTGTCGAAAAATTCGTCTGTTCAACTTCCATTTTAAAGTTTTCATCATTTAAAATACGATAAAAGTAAAAATTCTGCCAAATACTAGTATCACGAAATTTTAATGAGTAGATTGTGAGAAATCGTCTTCTGTGTACCATTGCTTTTTCGCCGCCATGTTTGTAACACGCGCCGTCAAACGAGTTACCGCTAACCGCCCGCAAAACTGTGTTCAGCCACCTTAAATAGTTTTTTTCCTGCGCAAGGCGCGATTTATTATGTAGCCATAGCAACGGTGACGTTTTCACATGAAGATTTCAATGGGGTATAGCTGTAGTCACAGTAAAAAGTGAAAAAATGCTACTTAGTCAGTAAACAGTTCAAAAATCGCTACTTAGTCAGTAAGCAGCAAAAAACGTTCAGTCAGTTAATTGGTATGTTTTGAGTCCCGCAGACGTTTATGGCCGTTTATAGCGTAGTTTTTTCCCTTTTTCGCTTACCCTCAAGACTCCCCAAAATAAGTTTAATCTCACTTTCCAGTTTTCAATTTTCTTGAACACTTTCGAAGCAGCCTGAATATTAGTTTCTTTCAAGAGGTCTTACAAATTCAGCCTAACCACTGCTTTTATTTGTCTGCCATTTCGCGTTTTTAAGGTTGAACTCACCACAACATCACTCTTCATATCCTCATCCTCACATAGTTGAGGCGAAGATAAATTGGAAGCAAAGTCAGAGTCATACTTACCCTGGGTGCCAGAGACTTTTCTAGCGCGGTTTCCGGTTTCTGTCATACTCTTCAATGACTTCCTCTTTCTCTCTTTCAATGACTTCTTCTTCCACATTGCTGTTGAGAGGATCTTGTGGTATGTTTATAGCCCATAGGCTATAGACAATGTGCCAGCTGAAAATTTAATTGTTTGCTACCTAACAGTAAGCTTTCGAACACACTGCTCATGTTCACTCGCCCATTCCCTCATCTTTGCAATGTTCGTTTTGTCCACAGGTACTACTGAAATCGGATTTAATTTTGCAATAGCAGAAAGTTTCATTGCGAGCTCTGGAACAGAATAATGGGTTTCCAGTTGGTGAAGTATTAATTTGCTTAATAGATATCTCTCATTGCCTTTCCAAAATCTCGGCAGTAGTCTAGCAAACTTGGTGCTGGGTTTTTCATCTTCGTTGTTGCGTGAAGGTTCTCGACAAGTCAACAGAGACTGCAGCTTGATCGCATTTGTAGCATCTGGACTCATACATGTAAATTCTGATGCTTTTAGAAGACCGTTAATGGCTATAAAGCCACAAACAATTATTCTTCGCTTTTATCACTAATCGATGCAGTATCTTCATTCTTACTTTTCTAGGTAATAAACCGGGCCCGGTTACTCGAAGGGTGTGTTGATATCACAAGTTCGCAACCCAGACGGCTCGGACCTCCTTATTAATGGTGGCTCAAATCATGTCAAATACCTACTTACATCAACCATCGTTTAAAGAAAATAAGAAAAATAATAAAAAAAACTATAGTTGTAAATGAAATTGCAAGGAATAAAAAGCAGGCCCGTAGGGAGAGGGGGTGCCACGGGTGCGCTCGCACTTCCCCACAGTCGCAAGAGGTCCACTTTTTTTATTGATCAGGGATTTAAAACAAAGTGAAGTAACAGTATTGTTCTATTCTAATTTACAGATTGTGTAGTGAAATTGAAAATGCTGTAAAAGCGGTACCAAGCCCCCCACTTATCAACAGTAAAAAGCAATTATGAGAGAATATCACCGCAGTTATAGACGCAACTTTTGCAGTTGCGAAAAGAAAGCCTGAAAAAAATTCAGGCTTGTACGGGATTCGAACCCTTGACCTCTGATATACTGGTTTGTAACGAACCACGCGTTTATAACAAATTGAACCAATTTAAGGACCTGCTTCCAGTTGGCTTGTTAGCTCAATAGACCTTTTTACCGATACGGCGGCCATATTGAATTAATTCGATTTAAGGAGTGTTATAGGATGCCCAGGGGGCATGAGCACATTTTGTTTATATTTTCGAGCGCTTTTCGGGACATTTTTTCTAAAATTTTTCTTAGAATAAGATTTTAATGGAAAAAAAGATCCTTGTGCCGTGTTTGGATGTAATAATGATCGCCTTTTTCTAGTTTAGTATTAGAAATATGGTCTTTCACAGTATATTTCTCGGGAAAAAGGCGATCATTATTACATCGTCAACGCGGCACAAGGATCTTTTTTCCCATTCTAAGAAAACTTTAAGAAAAAATATGGTATGGCAGAGGTCGAGGGTTCGAATCCCGTACAAGCCTGAATTTTTTTCAGGCTTTCTTTTCGCAACTGCAAAAGTTGCAACTATAAATGCGATGATTTTCTTATCGAAAAATGTCGAAGGTTGGGAGAATAGTTGTTGTTGTATCATGCGTTTTGTGGAGACGGTTTTTTTTTATAGCGACGTTTCTTGATGTTGAAAGTATACCAAGTTTCACCACACCATTTTAATTTTTTATATTAATTTCCAGCCATTTCAAAGGGCTTAAATTTAAAAATTTTCCGGGTAGCATGCCCCCGGACCACCCCCGGTGACTCACGCTATTAAACGCATTCGAAGTGAGCCCCTCCAGTTGCAACCTTGATAACTCAAACAACTAAAGCTTCCCCTCCCCCTAGAGACTTGCCCCTTCCGGCCTTATTTGGTCCGTCTCCACGTTGGATCGCACCTCCCCGTAGAAAACCCCGGCTACGGGCCTGACAAGTAGTTTTTCATATACAATACTGCCATGATAATCAAGCGAATCATGTTGGCATCATCATTGTCATCTTCACCATCTTTTATTCACACTATTCAGATACAGAAAAATAAAATAGAAAATACAAAGGAAACTATAGGAACAACATGGTATAGATTATACAACTAAACATAAACAATTTTTAAATCAGAGTGCAGTTGACTGATGCTTATTTGCAAATAAGGAAAGGAATGAAGGAAAAAGAATAACATTCTTTAACCCAGACGTTCTTCTCGGTTCCTTTCTTGCGTAGACATTTGCAAGAGCGGGAGCTCTTGAAAGCATGGCCGACCGCTATAGTTGTTAGTTTGTGTCGATTTTGATGTGAAAAGCGCAAGTAACGTGAGGAATAATGCTAATAATATCATTAAGAAGTACAAATGGTATAATAAAATAAGAAATTAGACTACTGGCGAATATTACGTAGTAAACTCATCTGTTCCAGCTGCTTTAACCTATGAACTGGCAAGATTCTTTTGAGTAAGCTATTTGTTTAAAAATTCTGCAACATTTTTTTCTGTACATGTAGGTGTGTCCATACTGAAGAAGACGAGTTAATTGGGAAAAGTTTTAAAACATTGGACATTGTTACGCAGACGCACTTTGCTTGTTGAACTCGTCTTTACTCTTAGACACGGTGATATCACAAGATTTTGTCGTCAGTGGTTCAGATCTCTCTTCTACTATTGGGTTAATATAACTATCGATTTCAGATGGGGCTCGTTCAGCGTGTCTATCAACAAGGTGTCTTCTTTCGTTGTTGCCTTGATCAACTTCATCGATCCCATGAGGCAGTCGCTGGCGTCGCCGACGTTTACAGTAGACAAACCCAGCAATTGCAAGAAAAAATCTACTCGCGCCAATTGGGATAAAGATTTCTTCCATTGGCTCATTCTGACCGCTTGGACCTGTTCACAGAAAATGATAAGTTTCGAAAAGTTTCAAGAACTGTGCGTCCCAACACAAGAAATTCTTTCCTGGTTTATGAATAGACAGCAGAAGAAACTCAGGGTGTATT